GCACTGGATTGGAGCAGTGGGCTCTTTGAGACAGGGACTGTGCTTCATTCATCCCTGCATCCTCCACTTTTATGTGCTCAGTAAATGCTTGTTGAGTGACTGATCAATGGACCATCCTTACTCACATGGGAGTGGTCGTAAGTGGAAGGCCTGTCCCTTTCCCTGCATTTTCCTCACAACCAGTTGAAGTTAGCAGGCCTCTCCAGGAATCCAGGCCCCGGGCAGAGCTGGCTGGACTTGGCCCTGTGCCCACCCCACTGGGGCCAAGCTGCGTCCTCAGCTGAGCTGAGGTGGGGGCTGCTGCCTGCCCCAGTGAGGTCCGCTGTGCGGGTGGAGACGCGGGCTGTATCCGCCCAGCTGTCGGGCCAAGGTCTACTGGACGCTGTCTCCCTCTGTGTCCACTATGGCAGGGTCCGCGCCTCTGCCTGACTGGGGAGCCCCGGGACCACCGAGTAACTCCTACCCAGCCCAGTCTCTCCCTGGCATACCTGGTCTGTCCGTCTGTCTGCCGCGTCCTTGCTGCCCGGCTTTGGGGCAGGTGCCAGCGCTGTAGCTGGAAATGCACCACACTGCTTGGCAGGCTATCCCAGCCCTCGGGGGTGTTTCTCTCTCCTGCCCACACAGCGGGCACCACTGCCAGGCTGTGTGACTCTGGGCAGCTCTCTGACCCTCTCTGGGCTCACGAGATGGGGAGTGAGGGTCTTATGGGGACCACGGATGGCCTCAGGGGCCTTTCAGCTCCCCTAAATCACCAGCACAAGGCAGCCTGTGCAGCGGGTTGGGGGGGGCAGGGTCTGGGGAAGGGGGGAGGGCGCGAGCCGCCCCCGGAACCCACCGTCCTGCGTGTCCTGCGGCCGTAAGCCTCATTCCACTGCTCCTCCAAGCAGCCTTCCAGTGTTGCCCACTCTGGGACCATCCCTCTGAGGTCAGATGGCAGAGGTGATCTGAGGGGCACTGCCGCCGCCAAGCCCAGGGGGTGGCGGACAACTCGGCCGCCTCTCCCAGGCCAGCAGCGCCACCTGCTGGCCCCCGGCCCCAGACGCCTTCGTCCGTCTGGCATTCCCCGGGGCTCCGCAGAAGGAGCTGGGGCCAGTCTGGGGGCGCCGGGGGGCTCACTCCAGACCACTGGCAGAGCCCGGGAATCCTGCACCCCGGCCTGAGCCCAGGAGGTGCCCCCTTAGCCCTGAGCCTGTCTCACCGCTCCCCACCCCCCGCGTGCAAAAGCTCAAAGACAGGGCTTACCCAAGAGGAACAAGCGAGAATGGACGGGTCTCAGTCACCGTCGCCGTGTGCGTGGGGGGCGCAGGGGTCCTGTGGGGAGAGAGACCCTCCCTCACACACGGCGCAGGGAAGGCAAAGGGTGCTGTGGAGGGAATGAACGTGCTGGGGGCCTTATGTCCTTCATTAGCTCAGGTTCATCACTAATGCCTGAATGCAGACACCATGGGAAGAAACACACACCCACACACATTTGCACATACACATAGACGCAGAACACACGCACGCACCACAACACACATATACACACAACACACACGTGTACGAGCAAGTACACGACACACGCACACACACACACATCCGTGCACACACAGACACGCTCATACACACAACACGTGCATGTACACACAGGCACAAAACATGCAGACAACATGCTCACACGCCAACACACACATGCACACACGACACACGCGACACACACACCTACATGTGCACACACAGCACACACAACACACATGCACACAACACATATGTATACACAGAGGTGCACACTCATGCACACAACACATACATATACAAACACATACACAACACACACGCACAGGCACACACAGATGCATACAATACACATGAACACACACGTACACACATGCGCACAACATGCTCACACGCAGCACACACGCATGTAACACGCACACATATGCAACACGCACACTCAGAAGACAGCACCCATGTACACACACATAACACACAATGCACGCATGCATACAGCGCACACATGCACACACGTACACAATTCTCACAGCGGCACCTAAAGACGGAGGGTGTCAGTTGACCCCCTTGACAGAAAAGGGAACCGAGGCCCAGAGATGGCACGTGACTCACGCAGGGTTGGAGAAGCTGGTGTGGCCCAAGGGACCTGGCCTGGGCGGGACGCCCGGTTACCTGCCTGGGCTCTGTACCTGGAGGCGTGTTCTAGGCTGGGCTGGGCTATGACACCCTCTCTGTGGGGCTCTGGTGCTAGGATCCCAGAGCTGCCCCCCATGGCTTGCTCTAGAGAAGACAGGTTGCGGCAGGGGTCAGAGCCCTGGACCTCACTCCCGTAGACTAGAGCTTGACCTTCGATCTCCCCCAGGCCCCCCCCCAAGCAGGCCACCGGGAGAGGCACCTGGGGTGGGCGGGGCAGGAAGACCCTCACGGGCCCCAGAACTCCTTCACGAAGCAGGTCCCGAAGGCGCTGGTACAGTCTGGACACTTGAGGCACATGGGGGGTCAGACGCCCTTTGCCCCCCAGAGTCCCTAGATGTGAAGGTCTGTGGCACCCCGTGACACCCTGGGGATGTACTGATGCCTGGGTCCGGATGGTCCAGTGCAGGGCAGGTGACTGTGCCCCTGGCTCACTCCCCCCACCAAGCTCATGCCCCAGCCCACTTCTGTCTGGGACCCCGTCAGGAGCTCCCACTCTGGGAAGGCCTCCCTGGCTTGGGGATGCCTGGGGACCCCATGGCTTGTGAGTCCACCTCTCTGCTCAGGACACCCGCTCTCCCCAGCCAGAGCACTGGAAGCTGAGGGGCAGCGGGTGGGGGGAGGAGGAAGGCAGAGCCTCAGGCTAGTTTACGAACACATACAGGGCTTCTGCCATTTAAGTCCTTTCTGTCAACTAGACCCCAGGATCCAAGACCAGGCTGGGAAGCCATTTGTTCTGAGCTCTGGGTTACAGCTGGGGAAACAGGCTGGGAGAGGGGCAGGGATGAGGCTGAGGTCTCAGGGGCACCCGGAGGAACGCCTGCCTAGCCAGGCTCCGCAGCCCCTCCGCTGTTGTCTTGGGAGTGGGCCAGGGCTGCTCAATCCTGGGGCACCTGCAGTCTGGGCAGCAGGCTCCTCCTCACAGACAGTGAGGCCAAGGCTCAGAGGGGTCCCAGAGTTAGTGCAGCAGGGGACTGTGCGTGGTCCCAGTGGCCACTGGTCCTGCCAGCCTGCGAGGCTCCGGGGGCACTTGATGCTTGAAAACAGCACGCCCTCAAGGAGAGGCCCAGCCGGGAGCGGGCGGTGAGCCAGGTGGGCAGGGTGAGGACCGGAAGCAAGGGCCTCGAAACTCCTCTTTCAGGAAGCCCTCCTGGATGCCCCTGCCTGGCTGGTCCCATTTGGCGTGGCAGAAGACTCTGAGCACCCCAGCTGTGCCACAGGCTTTGGACTCCCAGGGGCCCTGCAGAGTCCCTGAGGGCCCCTCAAGGGACCAAGCCCGATGGTCAGGTGGGGGGCTAGTCCTGAGGGATGGCTGGGCCGGGTGGTCTGTCCTGGGCTGGGGTGGGAAGGACTCCGACAGGCTGGCCCCGGGGCCAGAGGAAAGGAAGGGACCCAAGAGGTGGATAGTCGGGGTTGGTGCTGGGCAGACACTGCATAGAAAGGGAAGGCCCCAGGGGAGAGTCTGCGGAGCTCTGAGCGCAGTGGGGGAGAGGGGCTGCCAGGGGAGGGGGGGGGCCTGTCTGGGAGGTCTGGGGAGGCTCCATGGGGCAGGGGGTCATGTGGAAATGGGGGGCAGGGTGATGACACAAGCCAGGGAAACAACAGGGGAGCGAGGCTGGGGGAGCCATTCCCCCAGGCCTGTCCCCCACCTTCCTTCCCCCTTCCCCTTTTTGTCCAGCCCTGCTCCCTCCTGCACAAGGGCATGCCCTCCTTTCCCCAGGCAGGTCTGGGTGGCACAGGGCAGCCTTGCATGGGTCCCCTCACATCTCCAAGCCTCAGTGTTCTCCTCTGTGAATTGGGAACACAGACCCCGTGTAGGGGTTGCCCCTGGCTGGTTGAATGTCCTCACCTCCTTGGCACCTGCCTCCTGGGCCCCTGGGGACAGGGCACGGAGAGCCTCCTGAGGGAGGGGAGGGGGTGTGAGAAGACAGGGGGCAGTGCAGGGTCAGATCCACGGCGTCAGGGGGGACATCTCTCTCCCACAGGGCCCTCCACGCCTGCCCCAGGCACCGGAGGCCCCCAGGAAGCTGGGGCGGGCGCCGCAGTGACATTTTCTGCTATTAATGGAGCTTAATCTAAACAGGCCCTAATATTTACCTCCGCCGCCTCCGCCTTAGAGAGCGCCAGACAGCAGAGTGATGAGCGGTGTCCAGCCACGCCCCCTCCCACCCAGGGCTCCCGGGCAGAGGAGCAGGGAACCCAGGCCACCTTGCGAGGCAGGAGGCTTGCGAGGCAGGAACCGGGTGCCCAGGGGCTCAGCCTGTCCTGCATGCCCAGAGCTTCCCTTTCCCCATCTGTATATCAGGGATGACTATCCCTGCCTCCCAGGCTTCTGTTCTGGGCAGGTTCAGAGAACAGGACAACTCGGTGGCACTTTGCAAGCCCATAGATAGAGCGCCTTCCCCCTCTGCCAACTGACCCATGTTCCCCCTCCCCAGATGGCACCTGGGTGATATGATGGGACACTGTGGGCGCCTCTCCCTGGGTGGGCAGGGTGGGGACCAGGATGGGCGAGGACCCATCTCTCTACTGGTCTGCGCCCGACCCTAGCTCCTGTGCCCACACCCTACCCCAAACTCCTCCACCTGTACTCCTTCCATCCCCTGCCCTTCACAGGCGCGGGGCTGCGGGTCCCTAACCCCCCCTCCCCGCCCCCAGGGACCCAGGGATGGCGCAGGCGCACACCCACCACCACAGCCTGTCCCTGGCCGGTGAAGGGGCTGGGGCCGTGTAGGCTCCTGCCTGCCTCAGGAGCCCCAGGGCAACCCCTGCCTGCCCCGTGCTTGCTGAGTCGAGGGCACTAAGGGAATAAACAGCTTTAATTCAGGATGAGGACTTCTTGTTAAGGGGATTGTTTACATCAGATATAAATACACAAGCCATGTCATGTCACTTGGGCTTTTTGAAAATCAGGGAAGGGAGGCCATGGGGAGGGGGTGCAGGGACCTCTCACCCTGGCCCCCATGGGAACAAGGACAGTCCAGGTCGGCCTCCGGAGGCCCCTGGGCCTCAGTCCTGACAAAGAGGCCAGAGAAGGAGGGAGCCAGATGTCAGGAGGTGGGATCAAGCCTCTGAGAGAGCTGTGGGGTGATTCCCCAGCCCCCTCTCCTCCAGCTGCAAGGCCAAGGAGAGGAGAGAGAGCAGTGGAGACTGGGGGACACTGAGGCCACCTAGAGAGAGCCCTGTGTGGGGGGCCGTCAGGCTGAGTTCTCAGGGGTGCGAGGTCAGCCCCCAATTCCCGCCCCAGCTGCAGAAGACAGGTGGCCACCCTCTCAAGCTTGAGTGGTGGAAGGCTCCCCCTGCAAAACCCAGGTTGGATGGTGGGATTTCAGGCTTGGGGACAAGGGGAGGGGGCTCGGGCACCTTCCTGGGTTCGGATCCAAGCACTGCCCATGGCGCTTCCCTCCACACACGGTGGGGATTAACGAGACAACAGCTGTGAAACAGGGCGGGACAGACCCAGTCTGTTCACTGTTTCCCAGATCCCCGCTGGCTCACCTACTTTAGAGACCCCTCCTCCTAGACGAAGGGACTGTTCCCAAAAAACTTCCAGCCCCAAACACAGCAGTCCGTCGCCATCCACTCACTCTTGAGCGTGAATGAGAATGAGAACCAGGGGCAGCTGAGCTGACAGAGGCAGAGAGCCCACAGGTGATGCTCCACTGGGGCAAACACCTGACACTGACCCTCCCCCCCCCACCCCACCGCATGCCTGCCCAGGGGCCAGATGCAGGGCCGGGGACAGACAGAGCTCCGTGGGGGATTCCCTGCCTGAAAACCTACCATTAGTGCCGGTCCCTTGGCTCAGCATCCCTCTTGCCATGGGCTCCCAGGTCCCTGCTCTTTCCTGTGCAGCTCTGGGTCCCTGGTGAGCCACAGCCCCGCTCGGAGCGAGGTAGGGGAGAGGCTCCCGTACCGTGCCTGGCACTCAGTCAGGGCCAAGGACGTCGATGCTTGTGATGCTGACCACCACGCCCACTGCTCCTCCAGCCTCCAGGCCCAGGAAGCAGCCCGCCTGGGGGCCCAGCAGCACCACCCTGCTCTGAGGGAGCCTTGGACTCCCTTGGCCTCCAGCAGGGAGGCAGTGGGCTGACGTGTCCTGGGGTCGGAGGAGCTGCTCACATGGGGCTCCCACAGGGGCTGGCAAAGACAGAGCTGGCCTTGCAGTGCCCAGTGCTCGCTCCAACCCTGGCCGGGCCTTTCCCTCTTCGAGACTCCGTTTTCTCATCTGTAGCATGGGGATATAGATGGCCTTCCTGCCTCCCAGGCAGGCCTCCCTCCAGGGCCCTGAACTTGGAGGACAGGGCATTTTGCCTGGAGCCACTGAGCAGGCAGGACTCTCCTCTGTAAGGCTGGGCAGATCTGAGGCCAGATTCCATCTCACCCTGCTTCACTGGCTCTGGCCAAGTGCTGGGGTGAGGCCTGGTGCCTGGAATGCCCAGGGCTCCTCTTCCCCAACAGGCCCCTATCCGTATAGCAGTCTACAAAGGGCTCAGGGAGCTTGCCTGCTCCACAGAAGGCTTGTGGAGGCAAGCCCGGAGTGCAGCTCAGAGGAGGCATCAGAGACCCAAGCCAGAAAAACGCTCCCTCCCCAGGAAAGGCAGGGGAGAAAGAACGAGCCAGGCAGGAGCTGCTGGTCAGAGCTCTCTACCCCCGGAGGAGAACAAGGAGCTCCGTATGTGGGCAGATGGGAGCCTCAGGCCCGTAGGCCTGGCTCCACGTTGCCCTAGGTCTTTGCTCTTGGTTTTCTCATCCATAGGATGGGGCCGTGAGCCCTGCCACCGTCCTGGGGCAGCAGGCAGGGTCTTCTGAGGTCGTTCCTGGAGTGGGGGCTTTGGGCAGATTGGAGCTGCCTCATGGGGCAGGTGCAGGGGTGTGGCTGGAGGTGGGACGGTGTTTCGATTCCAACGCGGCCGTGCGCCCCCTGTACGTGCTGCTTAACCCCTCCCACCCCGGATGGGCAGGACACAGCCTCTCCTCTGTGGGGTGTTTCGGGGTCAGGCATCAGCCCCGATGTCACAGCCCTTCCACCAAAGCACCCCATGGCCGTCACGCTGTCGTACTGTGTGATTCACGGGGGCCTCGGACAGCGGTCTTCCGGAGACCCGAACCCCTCCCGTCTGCTCATGTGGCATTCGTGTCCCTTGACTTTTCCTTTCTGTCCTTGTTCTTCTCTCTGTGCGGGACAGGCACGGGGGCAGGGGAGGGGAAGAGTGGTGGGAACCTCTTTAGGATTCCTAGTCCCTGTTTCTGAGGAGTCCTTGTAGGGTGAGGATGGACCAGGAGAGGAGCAGCTCCTGGCTACCCCTCTGAGTTTTCACTGGACACAGTCTATGCCCCCGGGATGGTGAGCAATCAGCCCCTGGACTGCCGCATCCCCCGCAGAGCCTGTGGCGGACATCGCCAGTGAACCACGGCACTGTGTGGTCTTAGACTCTTTCTCCACGCAGTGGGCTGGGCAGCCAGCCCCAGTCAATCCAGGGGAACCTGATTGCCGCCCCCTCCCCCCGGCAGAGCAGAGGTCCCTGCTGTCCCGGACCTGGCCTGCCCCGCCCAGTCCTGACCTCGGGTCCCCTCGCAGAGTCCCACTGGCTAGGCGTCAGGCCCGTTGGCCAAGTCCTGGGTGAAGGTGCTGGGGCTGGCGCCGAGGATGTGATTGTGGCCCGAGCCTCTGGAGCTCTTGTGCATGCTGACCATGTTGCTGCTGTCGGGCTCGTACCGGGCTCCGTGGCGGCGCAAGAGGCCTCGGACGGTGGTCTGGAAGCCGCTGGTGACAAAGCAGTAGACGATGGGATCCATGCAGCTGTTGAGGCTGCTGAGGGTCACGGCCACGTGGTAGGCCACGAGGCTGGCGTGGCGCGGCACATCGGGCCACAGCGCCACGGCCACCTGGCGGGCGTGGAAGGGCGTGAAGCAGACGAGGAAGATGATGAGCACGGTGAGCAGCAGCTGCATGGCCCGCACGCGGCGCTGGCGACCCTGGCGCAGCAGGCCCGGCCGGGACAGCGCGCACACGATGCGGCCCGTGAACACGCTGATGACCAGCAGTGGCAGCAGGAACTCCAGCACGGTCAGCGCGAACACGCGGCAGCAAGGCCGCCCGCCGGCTGTCACGCCCAGCACGGACAAGGTCACGGTGCCGGCGGCCAGCCACACGAAGGCGCACGCGGCCCTGGCGCAGGTGGGCTGGCGCCAGCGGCGACAGCCGTCGGGCTGCACGATGGCCAGGTAGCGGTCCACGCAGATGCAGGTGAGGAAGAGGATGGAGCAGTGCATGTTGAGGAAGTAGCCGAAGACGTGTGGGAAGGCGCATCGCAAGCAGCCGCGCGTGCCGTAGAAGACTGCAAAGCGCGTGGGCAGGGACAGGCCCACCAGCAGGTCGGTCACCACCAGGTTGATGGTGTAGATGACCGAGGGCGTCTTGGCCTGGGTGCGGCAGCAGAAGACGTACAGCGCCAGCCCGTTGAGCACCAGCCCCGCCAGGAAGATGACGCCGTGCACCACCATCAGCGCGAGCCACAGGCCCGGGAAGGCGGCGTGCAGCTCCTCGTCCAGCCGGGCAAACACGTGGAACAGGGGCTTCTCTGGCATGCTGACGTTGGCCTCCGTCGCCGTGGTGTTGGGGGCCGCCGGGGCCCAGGAGCCCGCCGGAGACACAGAGGGCATGACGGCGGCCGGCACACACACCGGGGGCCTGGAAGCAAGGAGACAGGTTACCTTTGGGTGGCTGGAGCCGCGCCTGGAGGCTGGCGCTGCTGGGCTTGCGTGCTCACCGGGGTCCCCGGCATTCCCGTCTTTGTGCCTTTGCCGGCCCGGCCCCGAAATGCCTGCCCTCTCCATTCCATGGGGCCTCGCACTCGCCGGGGTGGAGCTCTGGTGGAATGGTAATGGTCTGAGCCACAGCTGGATGGAGCGGAAGTAAAAACCCTCGCTGAGCAGGACCGTCCCAGGACTAACCAGGAAGTCGAAGGCTATGGCACAGGTAAGCTGTGGAGCCGAGTGTTTGGTGTTTGAACCCAGGCTCCAATCCTGGTTCCCCCCTTACTCGCTGTGCAGCCTCAGGCAAGTCACTTAACCTCTCTGTGCTTCATGTAACCTGTATGGCCGGGGTTGTGGAGCTGCTAGGATTAACTAAGCACAGCATGGCCTAGCGCATAGCTTGTGCTAGATAAACCACAGTGTTAGTTGCTGCCGGATAAATCACGGTTATGCTCAGGAGAGCCCGGCCCATGACGGCCCCGCCTGGCTGCCCCCACACCCGTGCGTCAGACCCCGTCCTCCAGCCCACCCGTCTGTTCTTGCCTCTTCTAAGGCTGGTGGCGAGTCAATGCCTGGAGCTAGGGTCCTCGTACGGAACCTCACCCAAGCGCCTGCCCCCTCCCCGCCACTCCCGGGGCTCCCGGCCCTGAGAGGTGAGCACCCTTGTTGTCTGGGAGGCTCGACACTCACGCAGGGTGCTCGCTGGGGCCTGAGCCTGGAGCTGGGTCCCCACAGCAGTGGGGCGGGTGTGAGTTAAATAAACTCTGCTCCCCGCAGCGTAAGGGGCCCGCCCATTCTGTTTATGTTCCTGCAGCTCTGTGTTTAACTTGCTGAGATTTATCTCTATTTATACATGAAGGGTTAACAGGCCCCCCACCCCCACTCTGGGCCGGGCTGATACTCCAAATAAGGACATTTCTGGCTTTTCCCGGAGAAAGGAGAGGACTTTGGGGAGAAGCAGGGAGGATGGGTGGGTGCGTGGGACATCCGGCCACGCAATGTGCCCTCCCCCACCTGCAAGGGGAAAGGCAGACATTGCCCACCCCCTGCAACCGCCCCCCATGGCCCATGGACGTGGGGTGTCTGCTGCGTGCAGACCGGACACTGCCCCCTCCCCGTGGCTGTCTGCCTGGCCTTGGGCAACAGGCTCACTCTGGCAGCTTCCACCCGGTGGACCGGGGGTACCGAGTTCTGCCTGCTGGGGGCTGGGCACAAAATGCCCAGCCTGGTGGGGGTGGGGAGGCACAGCAGAGGAGTCCTTCCTGGCTAAGGCTCAGGCTCCAGTCTGGCATGGAGGGAGGCCCAGGCAGGACAGTAGGCTGCCTCTCTCCTTGGGCTCAGAGAGGTCAGCACGTGCCTGAGGTCACCCAGCTTTGCCTCTGCCTCTGGGACTGCAGCCCTGGGCATCTGTCGACCCCCACGGCTGCTGGGAGGAGTCAGCTGCTGCCCAGGCCCGTGGCTGCTCCCACCACATGCGGGCCTAGGTCTCAGCACAGCAGTCCTTTTGGGCTGGGCTGCCCTCTGTTTGGTACCCCCAGCCCCTAACACGCAGGGTTGATGGATACGTTTGCCGAATGATAACTCAGGCAGATGGGGAGCACACGGGACATCTAGGGCAGGGAGAGATGTTCTGGGGGCATGAATAGAATTGAGCAGAGGCCCCGAGGCTGGGAACCTGGAGCCGCAGCCAGTGGGGGACCCCAGAATGCCCCCAAGAAGGAGAGGGATGCCTCCCAGCCTATCTACTGTGGAAACAAATGAGCCTTGGCAAAGCATGGGGGAGTACCGGGATCCGGCTCCAGGGACATGGCAAACAGCTGTTTCGGATTCCCTTCCACATGCTTTTTGGTTTTCCAGTGTGTCTGCACTAGGTTCGAGTCCGTGTCACAGGGAGAGACAAATAATAAACATTACAGAACGTTTCCTCTGGGAGATAGTCCCAGGATGACGCTGGCCCCGGGGATCCTGCCCTTCCAGGCTCACGTGCTGGCCAGCTGCTGGCTCAAGGTACTGGAGGGTCCAGGCCAGGGCTGGGGGCCTGGGGCCTCTGCAGCAGGGGGATGGGAGGATGCTCAGGACGCCCCAGAGGCCTGACGGGGGAAGAGAGATGGAGATGTCTGCAAAGCACACCGTGATTCCCAGCTCCAAGAGTCTGAACCCTGATCCCAAACAAAGCTGAGCCCTGATGTCAGCCACACAGGATCCCAGGAACCTTGATCCTGCCACACATTGAGCCTGACCCAGATCATACTCTGAGCTCTGTTCCTGGTCACACACCAAGTCCTGATTCCAATAACACAATGAACTTCAATCCTTATTACACTCTGAGCCCTGACCTTCATCACACTCTGAGCCCTGACCCTGGTCACACTCTGAGCCCTGACCCTCATCACACTCTGAGCTCTGTTCCTGGTCACACACCAAGTCCTGATTCCAATAACACAATGAACTTCAATCCTTATTACACTCTGAGCCCTGACCCTGGTCACACTCTGAGCCCTGACCCTGGTCACACTCTGAGCCCTGACCCTCGTCACACACTGAACCTGACCCTGATCACACTCTGAGCCCTGATCTTTGTTACACACTGAGCCCTGATCCTGGTCACAGCCTGGGCCCTCACCCCTGACTTTCTACATGTATCATCTCTTCCCCTGTTCTCTCTGCGAGTCTACTGTCTCTGTCTGTAAGACAGCCCACGCCCCACACACACCCCACTCCTCTGCCTCACTTCTCACTGTGGCATTCTTATTTAATGACCTCTTTCGGGCAGCTGTCCATTTTGCTTTGAACAATGAGGAAGGCACTGGTGGGCCTCCAGACCCAGTGCTTGGCCTGTGGAGGCAGGCCTTCTGGGCGGTGGCCCGCTGATGGCCTCCTGAATCTGCCCACACATTACCTGCCCGCCCCTCTCTGGGGCAGGGGAGGAGCTGGGCTGGGAGCCTCTGGGCTGAGCAGCCCCCTCTCTCCTCCTTCTTCCCCATGGCCTCGGGAAGGACTTTTGTTCTCCGGCCTCAGTTTCCCCATTGGTCTTCACTGCCTCAGCTCCTGCTGCTCCTTGACAGTCCACTGGGATGGCTTCCCCTGCAAACCCCTGAATCTGCTCTGGTCAAGGACGTGACCCTCAGCAGGGTGCTCCGCCCACCTGGCACACTCCCAGCTCCCACGTGCTCCCGCCACCGAGTCGCGAGGCCCCTCTGGCCTCCCCCAAGCCCCGTCCTGCTGGCTTTCCCACCGTGCACACGAGGGCCCCCACCCTGCGGCCGGCCAGGGCTGGGCCTGTGCACGACGCTTCCGCAGGAGGATGGGACTCAGGGCGGGGCGGCACAGCCAGCGACGGCCGGAGTGCAGGTGTTGCGGGAGCATTTGCACGGTGACAGGGGCCAACAGAGATTGGTCCCCACGCACCACCTGTCGCTCTCTGGGCCTCGGTCTCCCCGCCTGCACAGCCATGGAGCGGCAGAGCCTCCCTCCCGCTGCTTCTAGCGGATTCGTGGTGTGGTTGCCGCGAGGAGCCAGGTGCTGGGTCCCTGTCCCGGCCTCTGGGCCTCCTGCACTCACACTCGGAGAAACCGAAGCTCAGGGAGGGACAGGCCAGGACTCAAACCTGGGCCCTGCCTCAGGCGAGCCCACAGCCAGAGCCTTGGTCCCGAGGGGGACGGGGGCCCCAGGCAAGTGGCCCCCTCCGCCGGCAGGCACACGACACCCACTCCCCGCGTGCCTCGCGCTCGGCGTGGCCTCTAAATATAGCCTGGAATGAGGGGAAAGGAGAGAAGCTTCTGCTCCTCTGTGGGGACAGCCTGGCCCCAGGCCTGCCCACCCAGGCTGAGGGGGGAGGCACAGACCTGGCCCTCAGAGAGGCCCTGCGCGGGGAGCGAGCAGAGGAGTCCCGGAGACCCGGGTTCTAGTCGGGCTCTGCCACGGCCAAGCCCGGGGACCTCGGCCCTGTCAGCGAGCCTTGCTCTCTTCATCAGTGTCAATGGGTCACTAGTGCTTTCCACAGCCCGAGGCGGGTGGCGTGGCTCCGTCTGGGAGCTAGTCTGAGGGGGTGGCACCCCCCGTCCCCTCCCCCTTCCTGGCAGGTGTCCTGGGCCTGGCTGAGGTGGAGCAGACCTCATAGCCCGGGCCAGCCGGCCGGAGCCCAGTGGACAGAGGCCATGTCCTCGTAGAGCCTGGCGCGGGGCCGGGCCCAGGGCCTAGAAACTGCTGGAGGGTGACCGTCCTGGGCTTGGACACAGCCCGCTCTACCCGCCCACCTTCAGGTACTTCTCCCGGCAGAACAGAGAGTCACGGGCTGCTCTCCAGGGGCTCAGGGTCAGCTGGGAAGACGCACAGCAGGGTGGGGGGCCTGGAGCATGGCCCATCCCAAACCATCCCAAACATCTTAGAGCGCAGTGTCGTCCCCTGTAAGGCGGGCAGAGTTAGAACCCGCCTCAGGCTGCCCCGAGGCGTGCTGGGAGGTGGCACAGGACAGGCCCTGAGGGGATTTGGTGGCTGGGTGGGGGAGGGGAGACGGGGCCAAGTGCGCCCACAGGTGAGGGTTAGGAAAAGGGGGCCCCTTTGGAGGAGGCAGCAAGGGCTCTCTGCACAGCCCCCAGCCCCCAGGAGTGAGTCCTGGGTGGGGGTGAACAGCTGGTGTGTGGCGGCCCCGGAGGGGGGAGCAGGAGAGCGGGGGCGTTTCTCTCCCGTACCGGTTCCCAGCCCTGTAGGGCCTCTCTCTGCCTGCCTCTTTACTTCCTTCCCTCTTTCTGCTCCTGCCTGTCTCAGAGAAAGTGAGGGGTCTCAGAGGGAGGGGCCAGGAGTCCCTCCAACCTGCCCAGGCCCTCCCAGGCCCCTTGCATGACTCAGTCTTGCCATCTGTACAGTGGGCACCTCCAGCTCGGAAACCCTGCATTTGCAGGATAAAGTCCTTCAGTG